TCTAATTTTTAAAATAGATCAAAATGCCAACATATCATGAAGTACAGTAAGAGTCTACATTGAAGGAAAATGAAAAGCCAACATGCCTTCCACTCTGCTTGTAGCACATGAAGTTGCTGGATTCAGATGGACTTTGCTCATTATCACATTCCTGGTGCTCAGTAGCTAATCCTTTCTAAACTTTACATCTCCTTTAGCTTATATCCCACCCTTTGGGTTTTGTTGCAGATTCTGCTTTTTTTTTTCAATTTGCCCTTAATATTCCCTAGTGGAACTCCACAAAGATTAATATGGGACTGTAGGAAAATTTTGTACGAGCCATCAATGGTGTCCTTCCTTTACAACTTCTAAAGTTTTCTCTGTCTTTCTTCTTTTTTTTTTAACATGTTTTAGTTGTAGTTGGACACAATACCTTTATTTTATTTATTTATTTTATGTTGTGCTGAGGATCAAACCCAGGGCTTAATCATGCTAGGTGAATGCTCTACCCCTGAGCCACAACCCCAGCCCTCTACAATTTTCTTTTGATATCTTAAACCCAGATGGTTGAAGGAAGCCTCTATTAGGCTTCCTTCTATTTGCAATTTGTGTAGACTTGACTTGCTCATGTCCTGCGTGGGCGAGGAGGGTGGGTACCCCTAGCAGTGATGGGCTGGCTTTGCAATAAAAGTTATGAAACTAATATATCAAGAAATTAAAGACAAACAGGCAAGAATATATGTAAAGCAGTTGCATGGTCAGTTGAACCTACTAGAAGGGTCTAGCTTCTAACAAAGAAGAAGCCTGTGCCTGCTTTATTTATAGTGGTACAGATCAAAGGGGATTAGTATGTATAAGGTTTCCATGTGGGAGGAGTCTTTTCTCGGTTCTTGCTTCTCCAGGTGGCAGGGATGCCACAATAAACAGGTTATTTGTCCTTTGGCAGGCGACGCCCATCTCCAGGAGGCTCTTTGATCCTAAGGCTATGAGTTAGGACAGCATGATCCAGGCATTCTTGTGGTGGAGGTGGGGGGGGTATTCCACCCAGGAGTTTCTGAAAGAGTGTCCTCTCTGCCTTAATGACTAGAACAAATAAATATTTATATATATAGCCTCCAACAGACTTGGTCAAAGATGATTCTTTATCTCAATACTCTGAGTCTAGGAAATTTAGAATGTTACAATATTTGGTTTTTTTGTTTTTTTTTTAAAGAGAGAGTGAGAGAGGAAAGAGAGAGAGAGAGAGAGAGAGAGAGAGAGAGAGAGAGAGAGAGAGAGAGAGAATTTTTAATATTTATTTTTTAGTTCTCGGCAGACACAATATCTTTGTTGGTATGTGGTGCTGAGGATCAAACCCAGGCCGCACGCATGCCAGGCAAGCGCGCTGCTGCTTGAGCCACATCCCCAGCCCCACAATATTTGTTTTATAAGTTGGAATTTTTAAAGGAGTCATTTGACTGATAAGAAACCACTTGGAAATAAATTCAGTACTAATATATAGCCACTGTAAATGAAATAAAATCCACAATTATAAATAAACCCATGGCTATCACTTGGATAAATGTCCACCAAAAGCCTATGTCTTAAAGAATTGGTTATCAGCCTTTAGTGTTTCAGGGAGATGGTTGACCCTTTAGGAGGTTGGGCCTATTGGAGGGAAGTTAGGTCATTGGAGCAATGCCCTTGGAGGGAATATTGAGATCCCAGACCTTTCTTGTCTCTCTTAACTCTCTGGCAAACTTGCAGAAGTGCTGCATATTCCCACCATGATGGACTGCCTCACCTCAGGCCCAAAGGCCATGGGGCCATGCAACCATCTGAAACTGTGAGCCAAATGAACCTTTCCTTATTAATGAAGATTATCTCAGTTATTTGGTCACAGCATTGGAAAGCTGACTAACACCTATTAACGTCAACTGATCCAGTTAATGCCCAAGATGATTCCACCTGGGAGTCCTTACATGAGATGGCACTCCTTTGTGTGCAAATATGTTTGTATGAAAACAGAAGAACTCTAAATGTGTCACCATGACTCTTACCTAGCTATGCCTACTTCCCTCCTAAGAGGCCTCATATTTTAAGGCAGAAAGTCAGCCACTGGGCACAGATTATTGTCTGGCTTATAGAGCTGAGTACTGCTGTCTGCATCAATAGGGAAACATTTTAACATTCAAGCTCTAGAAAGAGTTTGAAAATCAACTAAAATCAAGACCTTTATCCCTGGCTTTCATCACCTTTTTCATTAGCCCGACCCTGTGCAGTTCCTTTTCCATTTCTATTATTCTCAACCAAGGCCTTGGGTTTCCAAATCTTTGTTCTTTTGAGCCCCTAGATATTTCTTCCCATTTTATTCCACCGAACTCCACCTCATACTCAATCTATCCACCCCAGGCTCACAAGTCCTTGCCTGAAGTATGGCCACATCTTTTTGATGAAGCCAGAGCTGCATCCTGTCTGCATTCCATCACTTCTAAGCAATTCCTTGTTCTTCCTTCTATAGGGGATTGTAGGCTGATTATTGAATCAGATTCTTGCATATACCCCTGTACTGAGATTTACTTTCCATTTGATCCCCAACTGGGGTAATTTTCAGATATTTAAAAATATTCACACATGGCTTAAAGCTTTGACAGCACCACTAAACCTCACCATCTTCCACCCATGTCAAGTTACAATCAACATCATAGCCTCTCAGTTACTTGCTTTTCTCCATTTCTTTCATCCATCTACTCCCATGGCCACACCCTAAAACTTGCCATCCCCAAAACTATCCCTTTTCTGATGCTTTATATTTCAGTACCTCATTCCTTACCCACTTTCTTTGGTGATGTTTGTCACTCATTCTCTTCCCTTTAGTTTTTGGACACTCCCTTTTGCACACTCTATCAGCAATTCTCTGATATTTCACCTTTTTCTATTGAGCCTAGACCTCTTCATAAATTCTACTTTTCCTGTAACTCCATTAGGCTTATCTCATTATATATTTCATTATATACTCCAGTTGTCAAATCTTGCTAAAGAAACCTACAACTTAAAATATATAGCATCCTACCTCTGGACTCTCATCAGATACTGAACATATAATTGGATGCTATTTTACCATCCAAGTGACATATATTATGTTAAAAACTGAACTTACTCTATCAAAATTTGGTTAAACCTGAGTGAAGAATTTGTTGTTGACTTTCACAAACTGCTGTTTGTAAGATGTTTAAAATCATTATCTTTTTTGCATTTAAAAATGAAGAAATGTCATGCTATATTTGGCATGTATCTTCTAGACCAGAAATGGAAAATATACTTCTTTGTCATGTCAATTTCAATTGCTTAGAGTACCAGTAACTCATTTGTATTGACTACTGAACATATAATGAATAATTTGGTTAACAGGATTTGGACATTAGAGGATTAGAGAAGGTAGACTGTTTTCCAAGCAGTGCTTAGATGATATGTATTCAACCATCAGGTTTCAGCTTAAACAGTATTTCCTCAAAGACAATTTATCTTGAAACTTGATCTAGATCCTTATCATAGCTCTTAACTAATATCCCTGCCCTAATAGACTAACAGGTTCCCTACGAGAACTTTTCTATCATGCTTACCATGGTATCCTATGCTTAAGTGTCTAGCAAATGCTTAATAAATATTTGCTGAATAAGCTGCATGGTTCTAACCTGCAAACCTGCTTTGCACATACTTTTTCTAGCCAACAAAAGCCATTTGTTGTCTCCCTAAGGACACCATATATCCCAATTTTCATTCCTGCCATATGCTCAACACTTATAAATGAATCTTTATTAAAGATACTTCAATGCCATTTGTTAGACACTTTAATATTTTACATGTTTTCAATGTACATTGTACCAAAATTTCTATAAATAAATAACTTTGTACATAAAAGTAATACTTCCTCTTTCACATTGCCTCTCAGGAGCAGCAAATTCACATATTTTGTGGAAGTAACATTTATCAGTTAACAGTTGAGGACAAAACAATGGATCAATGATGACCTCTGGAACAATGATGACCTCTGACAGGTAAATCTGATATAGGTAGTCATTTGGCTAATATCTCCCTTCAGCTTTTTGGCTAAAGAAATGTACTTTGAGATTTTCTTAAGGACCTTATATGTTTCAATGTAATTTTCAGTGAATTACATATTGGCACTCACAAGACGGTTAGCTACAGGTCTCAAAAGTGCAAACACACCCAGGTCTAGGGCTAAATCTTATGTAGTCCACACCCAGTCCCATCTGTGTGAAAGGAGGGCATGGGTGGGCCTGCTCAGGCTCCTCAGTAGACATGAGCTAGCCCTGGAAGGTGAGAACTTGATCTTTTTTACCCCCAATGTAATATTATATTGGCAGAATTAAATCTTCACTATTGAAAAATCCACAGGTACCAACACCAGCAGCCTTTGCCTTAATAAAAAGCCTCAGCTAACAGTCCGGCAACATAGACAAGACCACATTTGCTTTTAACAAAAAGTGAGCTTCAGAGAAGGGAGAAAGTCCTACCATCCTAACCCATGGTTTGTGGTGGATTAGCAACCTTCACTCCACCCCTCAAATAAGCAAGCCTCCAGGGAAAAGCCCCTCACAGCAAAGACACATTGCAGGAGCCACCAATGCAGGCCAAACATGACTACAAAGAGCACACAACACCAAGGACGCCCTGTCCTTCCAAACCCACCAGGAAACCCAGGAAACAAATGTGGTTTTTGTCTCTAAATTCCCGCCATGCACTAAGGCACCAGAACTATTCCTAACCCCCCCTCCAAGGAAACAGCAACCTTATAGGAAAATAATATTGTCAAAATTGTATAATTCTGTTGTTAATCATGCACTAAAGATTAAAATAGCCTCTGTCAAGGATATATAATATATAGGAAATCTCTGAAAACTCTTATGTACAACCGTATCAAATACTTTTTCTGCCTTTTGTACACAAATAGCCTCTTGCATTTCTGTGCTTCAGATGCGAGTCCTCTGCCCTGCTTGTACTCCACACAGAAGTGACAACTATGTACTGTTCAGCGATGCTGACCCCAGGCTGCCTCCCGGGCTCTCCTTCCCGTGGACACTGGTGTGACAGGAGCTGAGGTAGACAGAGCCTAGCTTTGAGGGTGCTGACAGATGTGGTCCTCTCCGTTTCCCAGGGAGCTATCCTGTCAGTGGTGTGGACTCAGGACTGGAGTCACATGCATGGGGGAGGTGGCCATTGGAAAGGAGCTGGGCTTCGCTGAGTGCTGGGCTTCACTGGGGACAGCAGGAAAGGCCAAAAAGGCCTCTGGGAGCTCCGTGCTGCCTGAAGGGAATGCAGGGCAGGGCTGCAGGTCTGTGGGGTCCGTGTCGCACAGCCTCACTATAGAGTACAGGCGGAGCCCTCTGGGGAAAGAGAAGGCCTTCAGAGCCAAGTTCCAGCATGACCATCTGTGGTGGCTAGTGCAGCTGCCAGGGAGGACAGGAGGACAGTAAGGGATCACCTTTTCCATCTAGGGACACTGCCGGCTTCCTCAAGGATGTCAGCATTCTGTCGTGGTTTCTGGGGTAGAAGGACCCATCCCTGGCCCCGCTGCGAGGATGATGTGGAGAGTCTCCTTGGTCGCCCTGGCTGGAATCCTGGCCATGCAGTGCACTTGGCTGTGTGCTGTCCCTGAATGTGGGCTGAGGGTGGGGGGCCTGATCCTTGGAGTAACTGTCTACGTCAGCATTGCAGTCACTGCACACGAGAGGGCCACTGGGTTCTGAAGGAGAGATGGGCCAGGTCAGAGCCACCCCCACAGAACAGGCCACCCACCAGCACCCAAGTGGGGTCCTGACCCTCAGCCCTGCAAATGCCTTCTCCCCAAAGACCTTCGCAGAAAAGGCTGGGCACATGCCACACTGTTAGTGGAGATGGGGTCCTTCTTGCTCACATGCCCCAGATTAAGCAAATCTTGTACTTAGAGAATGTAGTCATGCTACTGTGATCAGAGACAAAAAAATAGATAAAAGAAAAACCCCAACAATTGAATTAGGTACCATGCAGGGTTAAAAGTTTTCTGAACAATTAGAAATTTAACCTCAAAACAGCCTTGGTGAACTGATACTAAAATCCCCTATGTTGCTTATTATTCTGGAAAATTCTTGCTCAAGTTTACTATACCATGAATAGTAACTAACAGACACACTCCTCTAGAATTAAAAGGACACCAGGTAAGAGCTTCCTGTTTATATACTAAATCCCAAATTTAGAGAGTGATAGACAGAAATTTAGGTGCCTCCCCTCTTCATTTAGTGAGTGGGTCAACCCAGATTTTGATTTCAAAAAGGCATTGTTTTTCCTGGTGGAAGCATCACCTACCCATCTTAGGTGGACCAGGTGTCCCAGTGGCTTTTTCTGTTACTTTCCAGGGCTCTTTACTATATCTAACACAGAGCTTGGGCTGCCTCCGCATGATGCTGTGGACGTCAACCTCTGGAGAGGCCTGCATCTCTCAGACACACACCTGCAACAGACTCCCCAGGTTAGAAACTGCAGAGGACGTCTCAGTGAGCTTGAGGAGCAGGATGGGTGGGGCTGCTGCTGTAGTCTCTCTATCAGTGGTGAGTTACTACTGTGCCACCACGAAGCTGGCAATGGGCCTGTTTTCTAGTACCACTTTTCCAGCAAGCAGTCCTTGAGCATCTGCAGTTATGTTAGAGGAGCAGCTCTCTCAGGCCCAGCCTACAGCTCAGCAAGCGCTCACAATCTCCCACCAACTGAAACAGCGCCCCCTGCAGAGATCTTTCCCTGCGAGTCTGGAATACAGAGCAGGTCTAGGCACTGCCCCTGCACTCGCATCCCTTGGTACCTTCATGGTGCTGGAGCCCCCACAGAAATCCCAAAATCCAGGGATGCTCAAGTCCCTTATATATAATAATACACCATTTGCACATAACCTAAATACACTGTCCCATGTAAGTCACCTGTAGATTAAGCATTGTGACTAATAAAATGTAACTTTGTGTGCACAGCTGTTGGGCTATGTTTTGGGGGAATAATGGCCAGGAGAAGAAGGCTGCATGTTCATGCACCTTCTCTGCCCTGGATATTTCTAGTGTGTAGAGACTCGAACCCACAGATACCAAGGGCCAACTGTGGAAGCAGGGCTTGGTTTCAGCACCTGGGGTTTCCCTTCAGCTGTTTCTGACAGTGGTCATACCTTATCCTGACTGGGAGGCTTACTGCTAAGCCCAGATGGTGACCTTCCTGAGAGACAGGATGTTGAAACCTCTGCAGAGCTTTCACAGACCAGGACTGAGCCGAACAGCAGAGTCCTGGGCCAGCAGCTGCCTTGTTCACCTAGTGCTCCCTCCCACCTAATGCCAGACACCTGAATAGGGAGCTAGAGGCCATCTCCACCAATGGAGGACAGTCACCTAGATAGAGCTCCATCTCACTGTGTCAGAGGCCTTACCGTTGCTCTCAATGTGCTCGTTGGCCCAATGGCCACCCTCAGTCCTGATTGAGGTTTCTTGCCAGTCAGAAAGGGTCCCCTGAGAAGAGAGGTAGCTTGGAATATCTTGTGGCACAATGGTTTCATCTGCAAGGAGATAAGACAATGAAGTATTCAGGATTTCGGTGACAACAGATGCAGATGTGCATTCACTGTCAGGCCCCGAAAAGGATCCCCTGGCAACAGCCATCCAGGCTGTGCAGAGACCAAGAGTCGGTGCAGGTAGGAGGCCCTCCCAGACCTGAGCTGAACCTGAGCCCGGGTCAAAAGCATGTGAGACCACAAAAGATGGGCAAGAGTGACAGGAAGGGAGACAGAACTAATAAATCCACAGCACTGTGATCTTTCAGGGACAATCCACTTTCGCTTATGAAGAGGACATCAGCAGGAAGTTTTTTTATTTTTATTTTTACTTGTCAATAGACCTTTAGTTTATCTATTTATATGCTGTGCTGAGGATCGAACCCAGTGCCTCACTTATGCTAGGCAAGTGCACTACCACTGAGCCCTAGCCCCAGCCCCAAGGCAGTTCCATTTCTGGCTCTGCCCTGAGTATGAACCCAGTGTCAGCAGGACCAAGGCTTCAGGTCTCCAGAACCACATTCCCAGAGGTCCTGAAGTTCCCAGAGCATGAGAGCTTTTGACAAAGAGTGTGGACCTGGCTTCTCCTGCCCTGGAAATGAACGGCCACTGTGCCCACCTGTGTTGGTGATGCTGTAATCCTCCCTCTTCTTCCTGGTTTGGTAGATGATGCACACCCACACCAGTGACGTCAGAACAATGCTGCACACCATGGCGATGGTGAAGATGCCATGGTGGTCCTTCCTGCAGCCAGGCATGGGCAAGATGCTCAGCTGGCTGTGAGTGTGCTCCGTGCCTAGCGTGTTGGACATCTCGCAGGTGTACTGGCCCGCATCCTCCAGCACCACGTTCTGGACCACCAGTAGCTGGTTGCCAGGGGTGAAGTGGTGCCTGTCGGTGAGGCTCAGGGGGCAGGTTCCCCTTGAGCCAGGTGATGTGGGGGGAGGGGCTGCCAGTCGCTGTGCACTGGAGGGCCACTCTCTCCCCCACAGACACGACGAAGTCTTCCAAGGGTACCACCAAGGATGGGGTCTCTGCAAGAGATCAAGAGACGGCACGCTCACTCTGGGGCCTCAGTGCTGTGGGTCTGCTTGTTTCTCTAGACATGGCATAATCCCACCTGAGGGCTTTCGTCAGTGTGGCAAGCTTTTCAGAAGATGGCTGATCTCTGGTCATAAAGGTTCCTGTTCCCAAAATGTCCTGTGTCCCTGTTCTTGACTAAGACCACACTCCTCCTGCATGCTCATTGGTCACCAGTTACTCAAGGCTCTGACACCGCACTGGCCTTTATTCTTTTTAAAGAGATAGGAGCCAGGGTGGTGGGGCACGCCTGTAATCCCAGCAGCTCAGGAGGCTGAGGCAGGAGGATTGCAAGTTCAAAACCAGCCTCAGCAATTTAGCAAGGCCCTAAGCAACTCAGCGAGACCCTGTCTCTAAATACAAAATAGGGCTGAGGATGAGGCTCAGTGGTTGAGTGCCCTGGGTTCAATCCCCAGGACCCCAAACATTTTTTTTAAAAGAGGAAAATACTCCTAAAAGCAGCCCCAAATTTCAAACAGTAGCAACACCTTCCCATAACCCCTAGGGTCCACAGAGCAACTCCGCAGGCCTTCCCCTCAGTGCCATTTCAGACTCATACACTTGCACGTGCACACATACCCCCCAGAGTACACCAAGGGTCGAACCTAAGACAGTCAGGATGGCATTCGCTGACACAGAGCCTGCTGAGTTGTGGGCGGTGCAGCTGTAAACGCCCATGTCATCTATTTTTACATTAGTGATGAAAAACACGTCGTCATCTCACATGACATGCATGCGACGCTCCTGAGCCACAGGGAAATATGTGCCTCCATCCTTCTGCCAGGCAATCTGGGGGTTGGGGTGGCCGGTGGCCACACACTCAAGGGGAGCCATGGTGCCAGTCCGGATGGCAATATCTCAGGGCATTTTGGTAAATGATGGCAGCACTGGAAAACACACACAAAGGGGGAGGTCAGAGGACAGCCGGCTGCTAATTCTGGGAACATCTCTGGGGCAGAGACCCCCAGTGTGCGAGGGCCACTGCTCGATACCTTCCCGCACTGTGCCACCGCCAGCCCAGGACTGCTGCAGCCACCTCAATCAGGAGCAGTAAGCTTTCCAGAGAAAGTGGCAGTCTCCCCCCACCACGGTCTGGCACTTCCTCCACCTGTCCACTCCAGCTGGGGATGGAGACTCAAGCTGGGGCTGACATTCTGCCTACTGCACCTCATAGGAAATGGGTCACACAGGTGGGACCCTGGGAGTCGGGGCCTGAGGCTCGCCTGCCTTTAAAAGCCACCAGGACAGAGCCTAGGAAACAGAAATACCTGCTCACCAAGCTGCAATCACAGAGGGAAGGTCCATGCATCCCCAGGGCAGCCTGAGGGCCATGCTGCCGAGCATACATAGGCAGAAGCACTGGGCTCACTGGCTCAGGCTCAGCAAGCAGTGGGACGCCAGAGTCAGTGTCCAGCTGAATGGCAGGCATCACCACGCTTCCTGTCCAAGCTGCTCTGGTCAGCCAGGCACCATGGCATTCCCCTGTCATCCCAGTGGCTCAGGAGCCTGAGGCAGAAAGATAGTGTTCATAGCCAGCCTCAGCAACTTAGCAACTCAGTGAGACCCTGTCTCTAAATAAAATATAGGAAAGGACTGGGATGTGGGTAAGCACCCCAGGACCTCATTTACCTGGTGTAAATAACAAATGCCCTGGCAGAGTCACTTAGTTGCCTGAGTCTTGAGGTGGCAATGAGGCCTCTCTCTAAGAATACGCCAAGACAACCTGAGTGTGGTCAAGTTTGTTCTGTGGTCAGCGGGACTGACTGAGCGCAGCCCACTGGCACTTCTGATGACCTTCGAGCCAACTCTATCACTGGCACTTTAATGATTAGAAAAATCTCCCTGTGTTCTCAGGTTGCGAGGAGATGCCCATTCACACTCCTCCCGTCTCCCTCCCAAAATAGCATCCCTGAAGAGAGCAGCTCTGACAAGCTGGTTTCTGAGTACAGGACCTCGTCCCACCCTTCCCCACACCTGTCCTGCTCTCTGCTGTCTTGAGAGGTGGGGACCTGCCTCTGCCCAGGCTGGCCTGTGCTTCCACAGCAGTGCCACCCACTCAAGGGCACAGCTTCCCCAGGGTCTGGGATGTGGGACCTAGAAACTGGACTGCGTGGTTCCAGAGAAGTTTAAGGCTCAGCTCTGCCTCTCACCCCGCTTCCCAAAAGTCACCCAAAGCCCAGGGAGAGGGTGCTTTAACCTGCAGAACCTGCCCTGGGCGAGCCCAGGGTACAGTGTGGTCTGATCGCAGGTCTGCCTTCGTCCTCTCCGAGGTGGGCAGCTACCAGGGCAGGGTGCCTAGGAGAGACCAACAGGGGGCACTTACCATTCACCGTGAGCCGGGTCTTGTTAGAGTAGGTGGAGCCAAAGTGGTTGGTGATGACACACTGATGGCGACTCTCATGGCCAAAGGTGACCCTACGGAGGTGCAGGGTGGTGGTGTACTCCATCACTTCCCCGTCCTGCGTGAGCACTTGGGAGAAGTTCTCTATGTCAGCATTGGCCAGAACCTCATTGTCCTTCTTCCAGGCAAAGGTCATGGGGCAGCAGCTGCTGCTGCTGGCTGCTGAGCACGTGAACCAGATGTCCTTGCCCACCACAGCTGTTGTTGTCTCTGGCTGGGTGAAGATATGTGGCTTTGGGAAGTAGTTCGGGGAGAAAAGGGCCACCATGAGGAGACAGGGACCAGCTGCTGTCACACTCGCACAAAACCGGGCCAGGGACACCAGGCCCCACCCAGGTGAGGCCGTGAGCACGCCCCTGGACTAGAAATGGGCCACCAGTGCTCGATCACCCAGCCCTCTGGAAGCTTCCTAGAAGCCCACACCCACTGCACCTGTTGACACAGCCACACAAGAGGTGCCACTTGTTGTGGCCACACAAAGGACTCTGGCACAATGGCTTCCAGAACGTTGGGACTCCCAGAAATCTGAACTCCCTTAAAATGATGAAAGTACTACAAAAAATGGTCAAAATCAACGGTTCTGGTTTCTGGAAAATCAAACACAATGATCCACAGGGTGTGGACTCAAGAAAATGAAGACCTCTTGGAAAGAGATAGGAGCTCTCTCTGGTGTTATGAGTTACCTGAGTCCCACCTGCTTCCACCCCACTCTGTGACAGCCTTGAGACTCAGCAGCTAGCAACAATTGAGGAAGCAGGTGGAGCTTTCTCAAAATCCCCATCCGAGCAGTGTCACTGTGTGACCTGTCAGGCCAAGACCTGGAAAGCCCCTTCATGAGGAAGGCTCACCACAGGAAGCCCTGTCCCCAGGCAACTGATGAAAATAGTGGCCACTGTGTAACCATACCACTGTCCAAGGTGACTGTGCCCTTCAGGGTGAACAGGACAGTGGTCAAGAAACTGAAGGAAAGTCAGGTGGAGGAGATGCCAGCAGCAGGCCCTGTGAGGTCCACCAGAGTCCTGGGAATCAGGAAGTGCACACCCACGTGCAGGGTGGACACACACCCTGGAAAGACCTCAGGGGAGCCCTCGTTTCTTGCCTGGGCTGAGATGGCAGACACGCACAAGCAAGAAGTGAGAGCACATGCCAGCACATACATACCCGGCCTGGGTGAAGGACACAGAATTTGCTGATTAGTGTGACTTAAGGACTTCTGTGTCCAACACTGGCTACTCACTAGCAAGCTAAGCAGGAACTCAAGGGGTTGTACAGAGCAGGCTCCACAACACTCATCTAGGAGAGGCCCTAAAGGAATGGTGACAGGCCAGCAAGCCCTGGGGGAGGACGGGAAGGTATGACTCTGGACTTGCCATGTCATTTTACTTTTTTGTTTTTTGGTACTGGGGCTCGAACCCAGGGTCACATGACCATGGAGCCACATCCCAGCCCTATTTTGTACTTTATTAAAGACAAGGTCTCACTGAGTTGCTGAGGACCTCCGCTAAGTTGCTGAGGCTGACTTTCAACTCGAGATCCTCCTGCATGGGCTTCCTGAGCAGCTGGCATGGGGCCTGTGCTACCACACCCAGCATATTATTTTATCTTAAATGTCTAATTTTCAACAACAAATTATGAAACAGGAAAAAACATGTCAATACAAACTGTCCCTAAGGAAACTGAGATCTTGGACTCATTAAACAACATCAGCTATAATAACAATACTTGAAAAACTAAAACTATGTCTAAGAGAATTAAAGCATGAGAACACTTTCTTACCTGAGAGAAATGATCAATGAACAGAAACTATAAAAATGAACCACATACAAACCATGGCATTTACAAGTATAGTAACTGAAATTAAAAATCCACCGTTAGGGCGGATATAGCTCATTGGTAGAGAGCTTGGCTTGCATGCACAAGGCCCTGGGTTCAATCCTCAGAACCAAATCAAAACAAAACAAAATCCACCCTAGGGCTAGGGCTGTAGCTCGCTGGTAGAGCCCTTGCCTAGGATGGGTGAGGCTCTGGATTCAATCTCCAGGACCACATAAAAAAAAACTAAGTAAAATAAAGGTATTATGTCCATCTACAACTAAAAATATTTTAAAAATCCATTCTAGAGGGCTCAGTAGCAGAACTGAGCTTGCAGATGAGTCAGTGAACTCGAGACAGGTAAGCGGAGATATCCAGTCTGAGAATCAAAGAGAATGAAGAAAATACACAGAACTTCAGAGATCTGTGCAAGAGCATCCAGCATGACAACACACAGATCATGCAAGTCCAAGCACAGGACACAAGGAGGAGGGAGAGTATGTTTGAAGCCCTGATGCACCCAAACTTATAAACTGGATGAAAAACATGCACCCACATATCTGAAAAGTTTAATTAACTCTAAGTAAAATTCATTCAAAAGGCCTAGGTTCATCATATTCAAGTGTTAAAGGCCAAAGACAAAGCATTTTCAAAATAGCACAAGAAAAACAACTTATCACGTACAGGGGATCCTCGAAAATATTTGTAGCTGATTTCTTATCCAAAATCAGGAAGGTCAAGAGGGAGAAATATTCAAAGTATTTAAAAATCTGGAAATCTCAGGTGTAGCAAAATTATCTTTCAAAAATAAAGATGAAATTAAAACATTCCCAGATTTTTAAAAAATATCCAAACTGAGAGAATTTACTGCTACCAGACCCAACCTACAAGAATTACCTGTGGTGGTGCATGCCTGTAATCCCAGTGGCTCAGGAGGCTGAGGCAGGAGGATCGTGAGTTCAAAGCCAGCCTCAGCAAAAGTGAGGCCCTAAGCCACTCAGTGAGACTCTGTCTCTAAATAAAATACAAATTAGGGCTGGGGATGTGGCTCAGTGGTTGAGTGCCCCTGAGTTTAATCCCTGGTACCCCCTCCTCCAACAAAACAAAACAGTAAACGAATTAAACACTCTGATCAAAAGGCAAGGAGAACCATAATAGATAAAAAAACTATGACCCAGTATACACTACCTACAAGAGGCAGTTTAGATCCCAAGACAATTAAACAGTCACCCAATATGAGACAAAATATTTTATCATGCAAATGGGTCAGTCCATCAGAAAGACATAAAAATTATAAATATATGCACCTAACAGAGCTTTACAAAATGTAGAGCACAACCTGTCAGAACCGAAGAGAAGAACAGACAATGTAACAATAATACTCTTATTTCCAATGAAAAGCTAGGCAGAAAAACTAGGCAGATGGACAAAGAGAAAGAAGACTTGAACAACAGTATAAACCAACTAGTTCTAATATACACCCATGGAACTCTCCACCGAACCATAGCAGAATACTCTTTTGAAATGTACACGGAACAATCTCTAAGATAAGTCAATATTTTAGGTCAAAACATAGGTCCAATAAGTTTAAAAAGATGGAAATCATACAAAGTATCTTTTTTGATGACAATGGAACGACTTTTAAATTCACACTGAAGAGAGTATTTGGAAAGCAACTTGTTGAAATTAAGCAGTGCACTTCCACACGCAGAGAAGAAGTCACAGGGATGCTGGAAGATGCTCTGAGTTGAATGAAAACAATGTGTTTAGTTTTCAAGTCTCAGAAGCTGCGACTAAAATGGTGCTAGTGGATTATTGCTGGAAATGCCTGTATTAAAGAAGTTTAGGACTAATAATCCAGTTGTTTAACCCAGAAAAGAAGAAAAACTACAACACCACAAGCAGGAAAAAGAAATTAATCACAATTTGAGCAGAAATGAAAGAAGGAGGACAGGAAAATGAGAAAATCACTACAAAGCAAAAATTGGTTCTTTGAAAATATCAACAAAATTGAAAAACCTTTAGCTCGACTAGTAGGCAGGAGGGAAAAACAAAAGGCACAAATAAGGGCACCCTACTACTGTCCTTCTTCCAGCCAAAGGAAAATAGGGAACACTCTAACAACTGTACCCAGCTAACCAGACGACCTGGCTGAAATGACAAACTCCTAAAACTGACTCAAGAAAAAAGCAAATTCTGGCTCAACACTAAGGAGACACTTTAGAATTTAAGAATTTTTAAATGTAGAATTAAGAAATTCCTATAAAGAAAAGCTCAGACTCAAGTGAATTCTACCAAACATTTAGAGAGAGAACCAATCCAAAACTTCCAAAGCATTTTTTTTCCTCTTACTTTTTTTGGACAAGTAGATGTAAAGAGAATATCTTCCAACTAATTTTATACAAGTATTACTCTAAC